GCTGTGACAACAACCACTGTCCGCAGAGGAGTTTGTTTATTTTTTCCAACAACCTTATGAAGTTAAAAGGGAAAGTGTCACTGTTTTACAGATGAGGAAACTGAGGCTTGGAGAGCTTAAGCATCCTTCCTGTGGTCACACAGCTGGGGAGAGAGGAAGCCGGGCTCCAGCCCAGGGCAAACAGTGCCAGAGCCAACGCTTATCGGGATCCAGGGTTGACTCTGACGTGGAGCCAAGTTCGGGAAGTGACGGGTAAAGCCTTCCAGGTTTCATTCAGCTCTAATCAGCCGGCAGATCAGTTACATGCAACACAGTTTTGTAGGATGTCTGATCTCAGCTGATGAATGATAATCACTGCCCACAGTGTTTGTAATTTTTCTTCTTGACTGTTTGGATATAGTTGTTTTTAAAAACCCTTGAAAAGTGCTTAGCACCTAAAAATACCCCCAATAAACTATGTAATGTAGATCCTCATTTGATCTTGCTTAGAATAGAACACACAGCAATTATGATATCAAAAGTAGAGGATCAGAGATTGAAGGTCTGGATTATAATTCCTGGGCAGAGCTGCTGGGCAATTTGGGCAAAGACAATTACTCCACCCCTACATTGCATAGTCTCAATGGGGGTGTCAATCAAGGTACCCTAACCCTGTCGGGGTGATCAGATTTCCCAGGACAGTACAGCCTGGAATTCAAGAACACAGCAAACACAGCACATTAATCCCCAAGAAAAGAGAAAAGACTGGGCCCGAGTTTTCCTTCTCAGAGGCCCAGACCCGTTCTTTCTAAGGTCTGGTATGTCTACCTTCCCTGAATCTGTGACTTACCCCAGGTCCTCTCAATAAAGTCCTCATTGGCATATGTTAGGCAGAGTGGGTTTCTGTTGCTTAAAATCAAATAACCAGGCATAGTGCTTGTTGGAAGGAAAAAAAAAAAGCATGGCCTCAGTGGTCCCTAAATTCCCTGCAATCCTAGCATTTCAGGCTGTTATACTCCCATCATCACAGGACATGAGGTTGTTTCTCCATCAGAGCATCCATTCTTCTATACAGGATGAAGAGGGGAAGAATAAAAAATTTTAGGTCATTAGGCATTTTCCCTGCAAGTTTCAAAATAGCTAAGTAACTGAAAATCTGGGAGGTTTGTATGAAATTTCCAGTCTTTCTGTTTACTATAAAATGTGACTGTGGCCCTGGCCAGTGTGGGTCAGTGGTAAGAACATTGGCCTGTGGACTAAAGAGTTGCAGGTTCAATTCTGACCAAGGGCACATACCTCGGTTGCGGTTCAGTCCATGGCCCTGGTTGGGGTCATGTGGGACACAACCAATTGATGTGTCTCTCTCACATTGATGTCTCCTGCCCCCCCCCCCCATCATACTCTATCTGAAGATAAGTGGAAAAATATCTTTGGGTGAAGATTTAAAACAAAAAACAAAAATGTGACTGTGGTTTGCCTGTCTGGTGTGACTCAGTGGATTGAGCGTCATCCCAAGAACTGAGAGGTCCCAGTTCAATTCCTGGTCAGGGCACATGGCCAGGTTGTGGGCTCGATCCTCAGTAGGGGGCATGCAGCTACGTCTCCCATCAACGTTTCTATCTCTTTCTCCCTTCTTCTCTCTAAAAAACAAAAAATCAATAAAAACATAATTTAAGAAATGTGACCGGTTAAATCTGGGGAAATTGGAATGACTTGAAGATGAGAGATCTGGATTGTAAACTATCACTGCCCCTTACCAGGGCTTAACCTTGTGGGAGTTGTTGCATCCCCGAGTCTCAGGGTCCTCGCCTGAAATGAACAAGGCGCCATGCTTGAGTAAGATATCTCATTGTGTTCTATTCTCACTCTCTTTGTACATCCCATAAACGCCCATGCACATGTGCACGTGTGCACACGCACGTATATTCACACAAATGCCTGTGTGTGAGCTCTCACACACAAATGCACACACAGAATTCCAAGAATTTGAGGCTTTTTGCACCTCTGACTCAGAGCCTGAAGGAGATGCCTGCAGCTCTGGAGTGGTGTGTGCTAAGGGAGCGAGTACCAGAGGAAGGACCGTCCTCAAGGCAAGACAGCAGTGTCTCTAGGTTCCACAGGTAGTAGGATCCTAGGTCCTGATTCCCAGAGCTGTCCCCAAGGAGGACCAGGCCCTCAGAGGGAAAGTCTAGTCTCAGCAAAGTTTCCCCTCCAAGCTTAGCATGAAAGGTCCCTTACTGCCCCATCAAGGACATATGTGAACGTGGACACAACAGGTTATCCATTGTCACTATGAAGACTGGGACCAGAGGATTTGTATGTGTCTCTAGGAAGGGAGAAAAACTCCCCCCAAATCATAGGGATTGAGTTTCCTGCCCTCCTGTCAAGATGGGGACTCAGAGTCACATTTTATATAATGTGAAGATAACAATGTCACATTTCTCATACGGACGGATGTGTGTGTGTGTATAGTTACACACACATGTATATATATTTTCAAAAATTCAATTATGCATTCCACACATTTACCACCTTTTTTCAGTTAACATTATATTCTGGATCCATGGCAACACACATAAATTTGTCTAATCATTTTTTAATAGAAGTAGGACAGACTCATGGTTAAACAAATTCCATGTGTAGAAGGTCTCAAATACAAAGCAAAATTGCCCCTCCCGGTTGCAGAAGGAACCACTGTTCACTATTTCCTGTGTATTTCTTTGAATATTTTAAGCAGATGTGATCATTTCTTATGTCTGCTTTTAATTAGTCTTAACTGGGATCCGCTATGGTGGTCTCATTTCTTTTCTCCGCGTGGCTATCTGAACTGTCTATCTACCAAAGACCCTCCAGTCTGATCTCTAAGCCATTCCCCTGGGAGAAGGGTGGTGAGTAGTTAGAAATAGGGACTCCGGCCAAATATTTCTATTTCTAAAAGGGCCAGATATTTTGTTTTCAAAATCTATCTTGAGGCCGTAAATAACAGACCATGATTCAAATGAAAATCTACAGGCTACTAAACAAACATATATAATTTCTAGCGTGACCTCACGTTAAAAACAGGCCATAAATGGTTTTCTTCAACAAACCCCACCTACTTCTTCTCAATCACGGTGAACCCAAGCCCAATTTTCGTGCTTACAAACCTGTAATGGAAAAGACTTCTTAGTCTGTTTATTCAACGCATCTCTCATTTTTCACATGGCAACCCTGCTAGTCACAGTTATCTGAGCCAAAAGTAATTCAGGAACCTAAACAGCTGCTGCTGACCAATAGAATTTTCAGAAAGCCCTATTTTAAAACAACGTTGATTACATAGCCAGTCTTCTCTGTGTTCCCTACCACGATTTCTTGCCTTTGGCAGAATCTCGAGCACGACAAGAGCTCAGCTCTAACCACGCTGCATTAAGCCCCACTTGACACTACAGTTATTTGTTGGGTCAGACGAGTCCCAGTATTGCCCCTAAAAGGAACATGGAGTGTGAGCTTCTATCGGTAATAGGGCGTCATCAGAAACTCTCAAGTAAGGCAGTGGCACATGTGGTGTGACTTTTGGGAAGGCGGCTTTGGCAGTTTCAGGAAGAGGGATTATGGTAACTAGAAGCTAGAGGTGATGTGCAGATCCATGGTCCAGGCAAGACATGATGAAGGCCCAAACCAGCAAAGTCATGGGAGAATGGAATGGACAAGGCAGATCTAGGAACACAAACCAGTAGGATGTTTGGCCATTACTCTAGGTAAGAGAATAACCTCACGGTTGGTCATTTGAGTGGCCCAATGGTGGCACGGAGTTTCTAATGCAGGGGAAGAACGTTCTTGAGCGTGAGAATGGAGTTCCGTTAAGGTTGTGTTTGGAACATCGGCAAAGTGTCCTCCATTTCAGGTATAAGGAGAGCAAGGAGCCCTAGCTGGTTTTGCTCAGTGGTTAGAGCATCGGCCCGTGGACCAGAGAGTCCCGTGTTCAGTTCCCACTAAGGGCACGTACTTTGGTTGCAGTTTGTCCCCAGCCCCGGTTGGGGTCGTGTGGGTGGCAGCCACTGTATGTGTCTCTCTCACATCGGTGTTTCTCTCTCTCTCTCTTCTTCCCTCTCTCCTTCCTGCTTTATCTGAAGATAAATGCAAAAATGTCGTCGGGTGAGGATAAAAAATTTTTTTTAAAAAAAGGGCAAGGAAAATAATCCATCATGAAAATCAAGACTATGGTTGAAAAAGTATGAATGGCAAAGAGGGAGAAGATTATCTGAGAGATGCTGCAGAGACATAAAGGGACACACAAGGACTTGCTACAGGTTTAGTTCCCAGGGTCACACGACTCATTTTTACCTGAATGTGTCACACTCAACAAAGAAGCTGACAATGGAATCCATCAGCTCAGTCCAGAGGGACTCCCAGGGCTTATGCCACCAAACTCCACCTCTTTACAAATACCCAAATGATGCCAGGGACAAAGGCTTCCCTTTTTGAAAGGCAACCTGAGGGCTTTCATCTTGTTCCAGAGGGCATTCCACATGTCGACTGGAAATGTTCAGGGAGCGCTTTCTTCTTTGTCACCAAGAGAAACATCTTCCTTCTTTTGGGACTCCTCCCGCTTTCTCTCTCTGCTTAAATGGAATCTGATGTGTGTTTTCCCCAAATTATCCATGACTGGTCCCTTGCACATCCTGTGCTCTTGGTAGCTACGCCGCAGTGGGCAGATACGCATGGGGCTCATGACGTCTGTGTCTCTGCTGGTTTCCTTAGCGATGCCCCAGCAGCCTTCCAGCTCCCCTACAGACCTGCTTCTGAGTCAGCCTGCTTTCGGCGACAGCCCGGCCCTGCCAGAACACCACTTCGATAACAAGAATGACTCTTTCCATCGTGGCTTTTTACAGTTTATAAAGATCCCTCTTTGTCTTTATTTCATTTCGCCTCCATAGTACAATCTTACAGAGAAGAAACTATTAATATCACCATTTTATAGATAAAGAAATTGAGGCTCACAAGTTTAATGACTTGCCTGGAATGCATAACAGTAAGTGCACAGAAGAGGATAAGGCTTGGAAACGGGAGCTCGTGGGGTTTGTGCGCCTTGGGTAAGCGTGGCCACTGAGTCACGGCCAGCTGTCTCCATTCAGTCTGAAGTCCGGAGAGGGGTTATTCCACCCCAGGAGGAGACTGGGGCAGGTCTTCCTTCTGAATTAAGATATATTCAAGATTCACTGAGAAAGTCTAGTTCCGGGACAGTAATGATAAAGGGCTTCTGAATTCAGCTGCCAACTTGCAGCCCAGGCAGCATGAATGGCCATAATACAACAGTTTATATAATGTTCATCATATAACAGTTGTTCAGTGGACTTATCACAGGTGTGACCCTAGAGTTGGTCAGTGTGTAATTTAATATTGCTTTAACTGTTGATTGGCACTGATATGGCAAATTGTCAGGTATAATACTGAGTTGAATGGTTTGTTGAAATCGCAAAGAGCTGGTAGAACTTTTTGGATTAACTGGTACAGCTTAATATCCTGCTGGTATCTAAGCAGAAGGTGTGTGTTTACTGGCATGTGGATGTGGGTATATATGGGGGGTCCGGAGAGAGCAGTAGAGTGCCCTCTTCAAGGAGATCCACACGCTGATGTGTGATGAAGGTTCACGGTATGCGACTGTGGCTGTTTGTATGGAGTCTCTGAGACATGGGACTAGTATTTGGTCCATGGGGCTAGTATTGGCATTGCAATTATTGCTGACTTGTTTAGATCCCTTTTGAATCTCTTCATCTCTTGAAGGGGGTTAGTCTATATTTTTAGTGTTTGAACATGAGCCACACACTCAAAAACCTAATAACTGCTGTTCTAATTTCTCTTTCTGGAAAAATCAAAATGAATATTTAGATACTTGATTTGCAAAAGTCTTTGAAAGGTCATTGGAAAAAATTAAAAGGCCATTGAGTTAAACTGCCCATCCAGATTCAGACTCCACCTGCGAAAAAATAATCTACCTGCTTCACCTGACCTGTTGACAGGAGTCTCACTACCTCACAAGACAGTCTGCCTTTCCACCTCACTTCCTTATTTCCAACAAATTCTTCGGGTCTTCTTCAGGGTCAGATCCTGTGGCCTGCAGGTCATGGATTTCCCTATTTTTGTGGACAGAGGATCACAGGCTTCTGATTGGATCTCTCCAGCAGCTAATGACTCACCACCTCTTGAAGCAGCACATTCTTAATATTTTCTTTCATATTGATTAACATTCTGCCTTTTTATGGCTTCAAGGAGAGGCAATTAAGCGAAAAAGATAAGGTTTGGGGTTTTGAGTTAAATGACCTACATTTAAATGCAGGCTGTGCCACTTCCTGGTTCTGCGACTTGGGATGAGTTTCTTAATGCTTCGGAGTGGAAATGTGCTAATTTATAAATACGGGAGAATAAAAATAATCACACCCATCTCTTGAGACTGTGGTAAGAATTAATAAGTTCTTATTAATTAATATAATATTTTTATGAGAACAGAACTTGGTACACAGTTCTGATAGTGCTTGGTTATTTAATTAGCTCTTGCTACAATTAATATTCTCTACCTTGTTCTTACTTAGTTTGGTCTTGTGGAGTTTGTGGAATACACCAGCAAGCTCTTCCACATAGAAGCCTTCACCCACCTGTGAAAACTGCTCTCACTGATACCCATGCCTTCTCTTAGGTCACATCTAAGTAACACTACAAAGTAAACCCAAACCATTTCTGTCTCCAAAGAGGTAGTAAAAGATAATGCTCACCATTGACATCCTATAAGAGATTCATAAAAAAGGTAACATGGTATAATAGTGGAGAGCATACCCAACTGGGATTCCCGAGAAACAAATTATGCTTGCTCGATGCTCTTGGACAAGTCATTTGACTGCTCCAAAACCTTCAGTGACAGAAGAAAGGTAAGCAAACAAATGTCACAACACTGTGGGCACCAAGGAGAAACACGTGCAAAACGCCTATGAGGAGAACAGTGCTCAGCACAGAACAGGAATTCAGCTGGTATGGGCTGACTGTATTTCTAGACCCCAGCTGTTCTAATACCCGTTTGTGTTCTCAGTCTAGGTAGCTGTCTGTAGTCTTTCAGCTCATGGTTGTGAGGGTGTCTTTTCCTGGTCTCCCTGCTCCAACCCATCCCTGAAAGTCTGGTTCTAATCATGGGCTCAGAATCCAGTAGCAGAATATAAAGAACATAGTAATTATGGAAAGTGATCAAAACAGTGTTTAGAGAAAAATATATAGTTTTACTTGGCTTTCTTCCTTAAAAAAAACAAAAACAAAAAAAACAAAATTAACTAAGTTTCTACCTTATCTTATCCAACAAGGAAATGAGTGAAAAAAAACAAAACAAAACAAACAAACAAACAAAAACCTCTGGAGAATAAGAAACAGTAAATGTGACCAGATAAACAACTAATTAGTTGAATAATAAAGAAATTAAAAATTAATTAATATAACAAAGAATACTTGTTTAAAAAGACTAACAAATGTCCACCAGACAGCAAATTAATAATAATAAAAAAAACTAATAAAATTATAAATGAGACAGGAAATAGAGCATCCAAGATAATAGGGAAAAAAAGTATCAGGAAACACTCTGCACAATTAAATGCAAATTATTTTAAATTCCACTTGAAATAAAGTATTTTTTTTTAAAGCAAGGGCATTGCCACTTACTGGGGACTAACCATGCACCTGGTCACAGTACTGGGTGTTTTGTATCACGTGTGGTAAACCTGCGAGATAAATATCTGTCCTCCTGTCACAAACAAGAACTGAAGCGGGAAGAATGAAGCTGTATGTCCAAGGACATCCAGTTTCCTAAGAGAGGCAGCTGAAATTCAAATTCAGATCTGCAAGGCCTACACCATTTATACTTTTCCACATTCATTCTAAACATATAATCAAAATAGATAGTCTCAATAAGAAAGAAGAAATTTTCTCTGGTCGGTGTGGCTTAATTGGTTGGAGCCTCATTCCATACACTGAAACATCGAGGACTCAATTCCACGTCAGGGCACATACCCAGGTTGTGGGTTCCATCCCTGGTCAAGGCCCATATGGGAGGCAATCAATCGACGTTTCTCTCATCAATGTTTCTTTCTCTCTCCTTCTCTCTCCTTCTCTCTCTCTCTCTCTCTCTCTCTCTCTCTCTCTCTCTCCTTTCCCCCTTCTCTATCAAGAAAAGCAGATCCTTGGGTGAGGATTAAAGAAGGAAGAAAGAAGAAATTTAAATATCCAATAACTAAATGTGTTGAAAAATTGTTCACACACTGCACTGATACAACTGGAAAGACTTGTTTAGATCAAATCTTCTCCAAATTTTCAAATAGAAGCCTAACCACCTATGTCACTCCTCGAAAAAGCAAATAAAGGCAAAAATACCTAAACTACATAACAGGAAATATTGGCCTTAATTTTCATTGTGGTTAGGTAAGCATATACACAGACCCTAAGGTGAGTTTTCCCCTCAGAGACATGAATTTTTCAATAAAAATAGAATGATGTGATAAATTATTACATGTTGGAAGATGATTCTGTGTATATGCAATTTTCAAAATAGCACATCTATAGAGACCAAAAGTGGGTTCGTAGTTGCCCAGGGCTGGGATGGGCGAGGAAACAGGAGGTGGTATAGGTAAAGGGTATGGGGTTTCTCTTTGAGATGATAAAATTTTTCTAAAGTTAACTGTGGTGATGATGGCACATATTTTTGAACATACTAAAAACCATCTATTAGTTTGCTAGGGCTGCCCTGCCCAGATACCACAGACTGGATGACGTAGAAATGTATTCTCTCGCAGTCTGGAGCCCGAAGTCACAGTCAAGGGGCAGCAGGGGGTTCCTCCGAAGCCTCTGGCCTTGGCCTTCTCTTGCTGCTTGGTCCTCACATGGTCATCCTCCCATGCACACGCACCCCTGGTGTCCCCTCCTTTTTTTTATAGGGACACCAGTCATATAGGATTAGGGCCCCACCCTCAAGATTTTATTTTAACTTAAAAACTTTCAAATATGGTTAAATTCTGAAGTACTGGGAGTTGGGACAAATGAAGTTGCGGAAGGTGGAGAGGCACAATCCAGCTTGTAACCCCGTCAAACTATACGCTTTAAAAGGACAAATTGTGTGATCTGTGAGTTATATCCTAATAAAGCTGTGTTTAAAATAGTATAAGAATGCTCTCTTAAAATGATGCAAGAAATGTTTGATTAAAGACAAAATTAAACTGAGAGAAACATCAGCCAGTCTCCTTAAGAACAGAACCCTGATATTATAGAACATGTGGAATGACGAACACATGGATGACAGATGGGATAAGAGAAGGGAAGGGCAATTATAAACTCTTGGAGAAAAGGAAATCAGGTAAGAAAGGAGACCACCTCACCACGCTGCTACACTTGGCCCCGCAGTGCGTCGCATTCAACCATCACGTTGACACACTCACTGTTCCCATTTTTTGAGCAGCTACTATGTGCTAGGCACTCTTCTAGGTGTGACATACCATAGTGCAAGAAAGGAAGGCCCCTGGGGTCATGGAGCTTCTGTTCTAGCAGGAGCAGGGATACGGACAATAAACTGAGACAGAATAAATGTTGAAGAGAAGCAGGAAGGACTGGTTGGGAGGAGGGGAGGAGTGTTGGCCATACAAATATTGGGGAGAAGAGTGTTATATTCTGAGGCAACAGTCCTTCTCGAGGCCCCAAGGTAAGAGTGAGTCTGAGGTGTGGGACAAATAGCAAGCAAGCCAACGATGTTGGAAAGATGTGGGCAGAGGAGAGGGCAGTAAAACCAGATGAGAAGGAAATGAGAGCCAGGTCATGCTGGGCCTTAGGGTGTTTTAGGGACTTGGGCTTTTTCTCGGAGTAAGATGAGGAACCATCGCAAGGTTGGGAACAGAAGTGAAGAGATTGTCCTTGCATTTCAGAAGGAGCCCAGTGGTTGCTGTGTGGAGACTAGAATGTAGGGTGGAAAAGGTAGAAACAGGGCTATCACATGCACAAGTATTGAAGACTGGATATGGATTTTATTTTGAAAATAATGGCATATACTGTCCATATGACGAGGATGAGGGGACCAGGTAGCATTGACTCATCATCTTCCACAACAAGGAGTCAAGTAGGTAATAGCTAAAGTTACTACACAAAGAAGTAAAAGCATAGCATTTAGAAATACTAACTTAATGAAAATAAGAGATAGCTAAAAATAGTTGGAAATGATTTTCAGTAGTGTGAGAGACTGGAGAAGACAGACAAGGAACAGCTGTTTCTTCTGAGCCTCTACTTCAGGTTCTAACCACATGAATGTATCACTTCGACAAATTTTTAGAAACGGCCAGAACAAGGTTGGCATTGAACTTCATAATTCATGTTGGGTTGAGGAATTGGGCACTTGCCATACGTTACACAAGAAGAAATCTAAGTGTTGGGAAAGTATACATAAAATATCATTATTTGCAGATGGCAGAATGCCTAGTTAAAACAAAAGTCAACTAAAAGATTTCAGTAAAGGGATTAGGTAAAGAAGCATTTTTTTTTTTAACTTCCTGGATAGTATAATGTCATGTTTAATCAATGTTTCTCTTAAGGAGACTAGCACTAAATTCAGCACTGAACTAGAGTAAACGATTAATATCTAAGAAACTTTCTCTTTTTAATTCTTAAAAGCTAAATAACTTCTAGTTTTATCTCTGGCCTAATGTTACTCACTGCTCTAAGTTTATTTGGGAAAAAGACATTGGTTGCATCCTTTCCTCCTGGATGCTTTTGGTTTAGAAGCAATAGCTGAGCAGACCAAGGAGCAGTTCAAGCACATGTCATGCTTGGTCGAAAGACAAGGGCAGGTCACGACAGGTGGCTTTTTTTTTTTTTTTTATTCTCACCCGAGGATATTTTTCCATTTATTTTCAGAGTGGGAGGGAGAGAGACAGAGAAACATCAATGTGAGAGAGACACATCAACTGGTTGCCTCCCAACCAGGGCTGGGACCGAACCCCAACCAAGGTACATGTCCTTGACCAGAATTGAACTTACAACTCATTGGTCCATGGGCCAATGCTCTAACCAGGGCACGGCAGATAGCTTTTAATATTCAGTTCTCAAACTCTGGGAAGGGGAATAGAAAGTGGTTTCCACCTGAGTTTTAGCCAACAAATCATACATTCACTCATCCATTCATCCCCTCATTTATTCATCCATTGTTCAAGCGAAGTAAGCCCGACATCAAGATTCAGGGAGCCCTGGCCAGTTTGGTTCAGTGGTTAGAGCGTTGGCCTGCAGACCAGAGAGACCCAGGTTTGGTTCCTGCTAAGGGCATGTACCTCGGTTGCAGTTTGTCCCCAGCCCCGGTTGGGGTAGGGGGGGTGGCAACCAGTCGATGTGTCTCTCTCGCATCAATGTTTCTCTCTCTCTCTTCCTCTCTCTTTCCCTCCTGCTCTGTCTGAAGATAAATGCAAAAATGTCCTCGAGTGAGGATATAAAAAAAAAAAGATTGAGGGAGAAAGCCCAGCTTTCTGTGGGCTCCTGTAAACAAGGCATTTAAAGGACAATGACAACACATGGCAGTAAGGACTGAGGTCCCCCCCGAGTCGAAGCAGAATCAGCCTTAGCAGAGATGAAAAAGGTGCTGGGAAGAAGGAGTGACAGCGAGGCAGGAAAGGAAGTGGATTGAGTTGCTTGAGTAATAGTGATTGAACACTTGAGCACTTGAAAAAGAGGGACATCGCCAAGCGCAGTGCTTTGTGGGACCCACAGAGAGAAGGAGTGTTGTCCAGCGGTCCTAACCTCAATGGCCACAGGAGCCAGGCAGGTGCTATGAACGAGGGGTGTGGGCTTGGTCCTGGGGAAGACAAGAGAGAGTAGTGTAGACTGCAGCAAACTGAGGTCATGCTCCACGCATGGGGACAACCCCTCCACAGCTCCAGAGATTGACACTAGGCAGGACATAGTGCTCCCATAGCTTTTAATTCTCCAACAGCAATCCAGATGTGCTACGTTGTGTGTGTATGAAATTGCTAGTGAATTCAAGTGCTTGAGCATTATCATGATAAAATTCACTGTGCTCTCATCTCTGAGGCCCCCAGCCCCCAACATATATGGCTGATTTCAAGCTAAGAGCGATTTGTTTGCTATCCCTGGCATAGTAGTTGAGTTGTTCTGACCTATACTTCCTAAAACAAATCCCTTGAGCTATCTCAAGCCTCAGTTTCTGCATATACAATAATAACAGTATTTAATCTAATTTATTTAAATTACAGGATTTGGGCGAAAACCCTGCTCTGTCATAAAGTTGCCTTTGATATTGTTGTATTAAACTCTGCTGTGAGTACATAGAAATGATTGCAGTACATGACATAGAATGAATCATTACAATACACTCTATACACACACACATGTTCTCCGCCAATGACAGTTCAAGAACAAGCGGCCTGGAGGGGATCCATCAAGATGTGTAGTTTGCTCTGCTGTTAATTTTCTTTCTGCCGTTTATTTTGCATTCTGGCAACCAGTGTTGACGCCTGATCGAGACTGGGCAGGTGACAGTGCCAGATCTCCCCAGGCTCCCTAAGGGTGACAGAGGAAAGGTATCCGTCTACAGGCTGAAACATGAGTGTCACAGCAGCTCCAGGAGGCTTCCAGGAAGTGGCCACAGCCCAGAGGACGTAGAGAAGCTGGTAGCTGGGTTGAGTGCAGACCTGGGGAGGTATGAAGGACATCCCCTCAGCCCAGGAGGATCAACCAGAAACTGAATGAAGGGAAACTGATAGAAACTGTAATTAAAGACACATGATGGTCTCAGGGAATTTGAAAAGAAGGGAATAGCAATAGCCAATGAGCAATGTGCACAAGCATGTATAAGGAGTATGCTCCACAGACCTTAATTTAATCAGCAATCCCATTTCCAGAAATTCCCATCTTGAGCTAAATGGAGTTAATGTTGAGTGTTTTGTATAGATGCTGGCCCCAAAATATCAGCTTTTATTTTTAGTAGTATTTGCTTGATATGGTTAGATTATAAAGTACATATTTGAAGGAGATAAAATGTGAGGCTGAAGAGGTGAATGACCAGAGACCAGATTGCAAACGGTCTTAGAAGTTATGTGAGGGAGTTGAGAATTTCTCCAGAGTTGGGAATGCCCTGAAGGATTTTAAGCAGCATCTTTTTTTTTTTTTTTTTTTTATCCTCACCCGAGGACATTTTTTTTGATATTTTGTTCAGATAGAGTGGGAGGGAGGGAGAGAGAGAGAAACATTGATGTGAAAGGGACACATTGAGTGGTTGCCACCCACACAACCCAACCAGGGCCGGGGACAAACTGCAACCGAGGTACATGCCCTTAGCGGGAACCGAACCCTGGTCTCTCGGGACCGCAGGCCGATGCTCTAACCGCTGAGCCAAACTGGCCAGGGCTTACGCAGCATCTTAATCACCTATGTTAAATGAGGTATATAACAAATAGTTACTATTTTCCCTCAAATATAGAATAATTGACAAGAAGGCAAAACACACTTGGTGGATTTTTTCAGTTCTCTCCAATGTGACAATGCATCTACCAAGTGCAATCTTTAGAATCTGCCTTTCATGAATAGCATATGTCCCAGGGGAGAGGTGCCATTTAGGTTCCATATGCTCTCCTTAAGCAATGACACTGTTCCTGAACTTTGCACACCGGTGGCTGCTCTAAGACAGCATCAGCAGAAGACAAGGACAAAGAATCCTCATGGGAAGAATGCCATCTCCACACCCTTGAACCACAACCTAGTTACCAGACTAGGATGATTCAAAGGGTGGATTAGTTCTACTTCCTGCCCTCTGAAAACAACAGCCGATGGAGGCAAGACAGGGCAAGAAGTGGGTGGTGTGAGAGAAGGAAGCTGCATTCGCTGATGGAAATAGCTTCTAGATAAGGGCGAATCCACAAATGCTAAATGGTTAGTCCCCAAAAAGATGTTTTCTAATCCTTGATACGATAAAGATCTCAGCATTCTTGCCTCAGTTTCTCTCATTTTCCTGGATGATGGTACAAAAAGGAGTTGAGATCAATTACCTTTGTGAAAAGCTCCCCAATGTCCTAGGCCCAGAACCACAAAGGGCACAGGAGGAAATTAACACTGATCGAGGGCCTGCGAACCTGCTATCGACCGGGTATTTTCCTTACATCGAACTTGGAAAATTGTCTGGTCTTTTCCTTATACTGTCCCAACCCCCAACCATCTGTCATTATCTCTCTAAAGCAGAAAGGTTTTGAAAGGAGTTAATGGCCAGATTATTGCACCATGAGTATCTTTTCTTGTTATTGTTGTTGCTCCAAGTCTAGAATCCCGTAAGTGGCCTCCTGCATCCCCTGTTGGGATGCACGCCAACTGATATCTAACGCATTAAAAATGCGCTGCTGAATCTACTGGAGAGGACATAGGTCCAGCTGGAAGAGCAAGAGCCTGGACAGGACTCCTGCACAGAAACCACTGGGATGTCATGTCCTGTCCCTTTCACTCCAGAGTAACTGCAGGTGAACCTCATGGAAAGCAGCTGGGGTAGTGAGTACAATGTTCAACTTAGTAAAACTGTTGAGAAGGCTTCTCCCTCTGCATCTATGGTAGATGAGTCATTGCTGGGCACTATGTGGCAAGTAAAGCTTTTCTAATATTCTTCCATATAAAATAGTCTTCGTGTTCCCCAGAGGCCATGGCCAGTGGAGGGGTTTGTTTTGACAACTGAACACACAATACAAATATTAGTAATTATTATTGAGTTAAGGGTTATTGTTTAAGACTTATTTCTAGGAATGCTGTATGCTGGAAACTGATAATTGCCCACTTCTTATCCATCATTACTTCTTCCTTAATAATGGAAACCTGATCTTGTTGGAGGCATCAATGTGTCCTGATGCCAAACTACTTTTTCAAGCTTCACCTTAAGATAGAGGCAAGGTAACTAAGTTCTGGATAATTTCAGGAGGGGTGTTAATTTAGTTAGGAGATTCTTTTGCCTTTTTCCCTTCCCTCTTGCCTAGAATATAGACTTGATGTCTGGAGCTGCAGTAGCCATCTTGCACCTTGAGGATGGAAGTCACATACTAATGATAAAAGAACAAAAAAATAGAAGGACATTCATTGCGTCATAGGATCATTGTAACAACTATGGAAAGTCAGCCTCCAGGCTGCCTATAATTGAGAGAAAAGTAAATCTCCATCTTGTTAAATCATGTTATTTCAGATTTCTGTTACTAGCACCCAAAGTCAGTTCCTAACTGATTCAGCTTCTATGTGGTAAAATAAGAAAAGCAGGGCCCAAAAATTTCAATCAAGATGTGTGTGTGTGTGTGTGCGGGGGAGAACATAACATTTAAATTCTATCGATTTCAGGGCACATTGCATTATCTGTGAGGAGTTAAGTCACTAGGTAAGGGCCATGGGATAATCGTGATGTCCAAGTGGCTGGTGGAGGGGGGTTTCCTGTAAGACGAAGCTGGAAGAATCCAGCAGATTTTACCTGTGGCTTTCAAACACTTTGCCCTTTATGGAGATTATAAACCTGCATTATTTATTAACATTGACTTTGCCTAGTCTATAGGAGAACTGAGTGATCCTTGGAAAGTGTTTCCCGTGTGGGACCTGGGAGACTTCTGAATCCATTAAGTGAAAAATGAAAGGAGACAGCATCACGAGTTCAAGTTCATTCAAGTCAACATCAATGCCAGTTTCTCCAGAAGAAGCAGGAAAAAGACCAGCAGAGAGGAAGGTAATAAAAAGCTCTGGGCTCTGCTGTCCTAATTACCCCTAATCCAGTAAAGAGCTGGATGTCTTACAAATGCTAATTAATTAAGCCCCCTACCAGTCAAGTGATAAATCCAGGAAGAGACCTCTCAGGTAAAAGTGTAGACTGTGACAGAACAGGGCAGGCTGGAAATAGACATCTAAGTATGCAGGCAGTGTTTGAAATGCGGGAGGGTCAGCGAAGGCGTGAAAAGTACCACGCAGACTATAAAAACAAGGAGAATCCTGTATGGCGTTGAAAACTAGAAATCAGCATGTGTGAAACCAGTGCTCACCTCTTCTCCACACTACCCCTCCATCCAGTTCTCAACTTCTACTTCTCAGTGAAATAACCATATTGCACCCAAATCTCCGAATTCCTTACCTTCTGGAACTCTTCCAAGGTCCAACTTTGTCCTTTTTCCACCACCACTAGCACATCCACTCGCCAGAAATGATCACCTCCTGGGGTTGCCCTGTTTCCAAGCTTCCCAAATAGTGTTCTGCTGAATCAGCCATGCTGTTTTTGGTTGCAAATAAAAGGAAATTCAACTCAAAGGAGCTTCAACTGTGCAAGGAATTTCTTGTTTCTGGTTCACTAACTGAAGAGTTCAAAGGTGTGTCAACTTCAGGCATTCATTTAAGATTAGGGCTCTGTTCCCTTCCTCTGTTTCTCTGCAGTTTTCTTAGTGTTATTCTTATGTTTTGTTTTGTTTTTCTCTGACTGGTTTCTATCATACAGTGACAAATGTTATATCAGATCCTGGTGACACCACCATATATCACAGCATCCAAAGAAAGAGACTACCTCTTTCTTCTCCCAGATGCAACAAAAATGCCTTGAGCTTCAGCTGTAACAAACAAAAGGAAGTTAGGCACACACTCTTGAAAAACATTCATTAAGACCCAAGAAATAGTGGATGAATCAACCTAAGTTGTGCTGTGGTGACAAATGACCCTAAAAACCTTAGTGGTCTGCAAAGCAACAGTTTTCTTTTTCATTCAACTTACACAGAGGCCATTGCAAGACATGAGATTTCATCCATGTCCTCTTCATTCTGGGAGCAAGACGGAAGGAGCAGCCAGTTTCTAGGGCACATTAATCTTGTGGCAGAGGGACGAGAGTGATGGCAGAACCACATGCTGGCTCTGAAAATTTCCGCTCAGAAGTGGCACAAAATTCCACCCACATTCCGTAGGGCAAAGAAAGTCACTGCCTAAGCCTGTGGTCAGTAGGATGGGAAGTAAAATCCTTCTGTAGGAAAGTCCAGAGGGAACGAGCTTGATATCTCTTGAATATAATAGAATCTGTTGCAAACTCTATATGCTGATTAGTTTAAACTGAGTTGCTCATCCCAGAACTAATGATTAGGTAAGGTAATCGGTAGGATTAAACTTTTGGGTTTATATCAATGAAAGCCTACCCGTCCAAGGGGAAATGAGATCAACCACATTTAGACCACATGGTCTACTTCACCTACCAATAGATAGGGCAGATCCGATCCCCACTTTACAGAGAAAACCAAAGCCTAAAACTATTGCCTCGTTAAGATCAGAGGGCCAGGTCATCGAAATTGATATTCCATCTTTCCCCTCGTACTAAAGACTTTGAATTTGGTACTGCTGTACCCAAAAACAACCTCCTGACTTAACTCATTCATTTGACTAACAAACTTAGCTAACATGGGGAGGAATCAAATTGGAAATTCACTATTTTTTTCCGGACAGTCACCATTTATGAAATAATTCCCAGGTTTCAAATCTGAAAAGTTTTATAATTGAGAGACAAAGTCATACAAGGGCACATTTCACCTAGGAAACATGCATCCTTGAAAAGTGCATTCAGAATATACATTGTGCAACCTTCCAAGAGATCACTTTGACAATATCTAGCAAAAGCCTTAAAATATGCATGTTGATTGACCCAGAAATTAAACATGTAGAAAACTTACCTTATGAAAATAACCATGGGCGAGTGGGAAAGTCAATGAAAATAACAAGGATCTTCAATGCAGCCAAAAATTTAACCTAAAAATCCTAAATGTTTAACCTAAATATTCAACACAATTGGATTCGTTAAGTAAACCAGGGACAATGCGCTGAATAAAACACTATATAGCTATTGTCAAAGAATCCGGACAGTCACCATTTAACTGCACAGATGTTTTAATTGTATCAAAAGCAAATTATCAAATGCTATACACAATATGTTTTTGTATAGATGGGATTATAAAAAATTGGGTTTTTTTTTTTTTTTTTTTTTTTTTACATTTACATTCAAATTGTCTACATCAAATGTGTATGGCTTTTACACTAAGAAAGTAAACAATAAAATTTTCTTTTTTAATGAGTCACCCACCAAAACTAAAGCTTCGAGAAACCATGGGAAGCAGATGAGATTACCATCTGCAGAAGTAATTATAAGCTCTAAGAGTGTCTTGCTGATTAGACTAGGGTGTCTCTCATATATGATGGAAAGATTAAAATAGAAATCAAGCAATATGACCCATGACATGTGGCTCTGTGATAGCCCGAGAAAATGGGTCTAGGAAAAATGAGAAACGATGATTAAGAATGGTCAGTGTGACCCTAGCACTACCCACTGAGAAGGGTTGTAAGTTGAATTACCCTAATCCGAGAATGAGGCAGAGTTTCACCCAGAGAGATGACAATTCATCCAATGTTCCAGCATGGTGCTTAAAAATATCAGCTTCCTTTCATTTTAATCCTATACTGACCCAGCTACCTTAATTGCTCTAATTTTCTCTTTCATCAAGAAGCAATGCCCCATGCCAATGATACCTGTCAGTTTTTCTGACTGGATGAACTCCCAAGGACCAAGGTATAAATTCTGGTCTATACTGGCAGTTGTGTGTGGACTTAATCAGTGCCGTTGTGTTTGCCAAGGTCATTTCAACCCAGGGTGAGTTAATCCCATTCAATGGAAGACCGCCAATGGGCTTCTTTCTTTTTTTAGTAACACTTCCGTCTCCTTCTCTACCTAAAAAATTTCTAGTGCAATCAGATGGCTTGGCCAAGGTTTCAAAATGTTATCCTCGTGTTCCTTAAAACATATGTGTAGGTGTTACTTCTGCTCAGTAGTTCATGTTAAATGTTTGATTTAGCACTATAGAAAGAAAAATTAGGAGTGTGCTCCCTCTGTAATCTGACCATTCTTCTGCCTGTTACTGCAGTGACCAATCCCTTTAGGATGATCACAGTCCCTGAGCCCGTCATTTATATGTACCTCATTGTGCCTCTGTCCAAAGTCTTCGTTAGTCTGGGACCTTCCACACCATGTGTCAAAATTCTTCTCAACCACCAATTCCCAGATGGAAAAAATTCTCTTCCCCAAATTTCTTTTTTTTTTTCTTTGTAATTTTTTTTTTTCTCTATTGATTTTGGAGAGAGAGAAGAAGGGAGAAGGAGAGAGAGATAGAAACATTGACGAGAGAGAAGATCGATTGGCCACCTCTTACATGCCCCCAAATAGGGATCGGGCCCACAACCTGGACATGTGCCCTGACCAGGAATCAAACCAGCAACCTCTTGATGCATGGGTCGACACTCAACCACTCAGCCAAACTCGCCAGGCCCCAAATTTCTTAATTCTAGAATTCTATTAAGATCCTATTAAGCAAGAATGTAAGCTCTCTGAAGGTCGATACTTTATTTTGTTTATTCCTTACCTCCATTACTTATGAAAAAAGCTTTGTGTTAGGTAGTGAAAAGTGTATGAATTTGTGTAATTGTTTCTCAGAGCTTCTCCCCCCGACCAGGCTAAAGAAACAATATTCCTCTGAATCTCTCGTGGTCTTGCACAACAGGCATGTTTAACTTTTATGCTAATAATTTTCAAACAGATCCCTAATTTGAGATAATAGCTGCAGCCCAAATAACCGAGTTTTTAATTAAGCCAGTCTTTCCATACCCAACAATAAAAGTTTTAAGCAATTTGAAAATGCGTTCTGTGTTCCTGCACGAACCAGGGACAGAGTGACTTCAGAGTACAAAATCAGACTGTGTTCTGAGCGCTACATTCCTCTCTCAAAAGCCAAAATACACACTGGTCTCATGTCCAGGTCCTACTTTAATGGATGCATTCAATAAAACGTCCCAAAATGTCACTTAGAGGGTGGAATTCGCAAGCAACACTTCTCGCTGAAAAATAATACACCAGTATCATAAATACAATTTGCATTAGTTTTCAACATTTGTTTTATAAATACCACATCCTAAGGTTTTCCATCGTGATAGCTGAGCATGCTTCATGATTTTCCAAGAAAAGTAAAAAATTACCACCGAGAGAAGCACCAAGATTGTGCTGGGTGCCAGCATGTACTTCTCAAGAATGTTTTTAAAAGAAAAATAGAGTGAATGAAAAAGTGAGTCTATGTCTCTACACATTGCCACAAAGGAAATTCTGGCCCAAGACCATTCCTGGTGTATCTCTGACATATATTCCTTTTCTACAATACAGAGACTTGGTTTTGAAATGATAACACACTTCTGGAGTTCATCGAAAGATAACATACATGATCTTTTAGTTGAAATCATCACAGTTGGAACTGGCACCAGGAAGACAGGAAACAAAGAGGAGTGACCCGAGTGAGGGAAGGAGCTGGTACCCCAAGGTGGGCTTGCAGCGGACTGAACCCAGCCTCGGCAGGCTCAGGTCTCCATGGGTGCTGAGGCAGAGGCTGGGCGCTACGAGAGTCTACGCACAGGGAGCATTCTGCATCACGTGACGGGTGGCATCAAAGTCCTGGGCAGTTCTGCTAAGTTTGAAACAGGATTCCAGTAGAATAAAACCAGCCAAAGGAAGGACGAATCAGGCTGGCGGACAGATTGGAACTCGCTGCCAGGCTCTGGAGCTGGTAGGGACACAGTAATATGCTCAGAAAAAACTAGAAGGGAAAAACTTGTATTCCGGGCTGTGAGAGATGCCTGGGAAGGATCAACTTAACAAGAGAAAAGGCTGGGGGGCTTTAGGGCCAAAGGGGAGGGGACTGCTGGGCATAAGTAGCTGATCCCAGGGTTCAAGATGGCAACACATCTTCACTGTGCCCTTATCATTTGATGACACCAGAATGTCCTGCATGTCCTTGGCAAATCACAGAGCCTCGGGGACTCTATCTAATCAATTCTAAGTTGCACAAAGCAAGAGCTGCTCCTGGGAATTCTGAGGTCACGAAGTAGTGTTTGTGACTCTACAAGCAGAGAGCCTGGCTGATAATCCCAGCTCCGCCACTTGCTGTCTGTGGGGCCCCAGGTCACAGTCTTCAATCAGTTCTTTTTTTTATCCTCACCAAAGGACATTTTTGCATTTATCTTCAGGTAGAGTGGGGGGTGGGGGAGAAACATCTATGTGAGAGAGACACATCGACTGGTTGCCACCCACACGACCCCAACCGGGGCTGGGGACAAACTGCAACCCAGGTATGTGCCCTTAGCAGGAACCAAACCTGGGTCTCTCTGGTCCGCAGGCTGACACTCTAACTGCTGAGCCAAACTGGCCAGGGGTTCAATCAGTTCTTGATCCCAGTTTCCTTATCTAAGAAATAGAAATACAAAGTATTTAGCATCATACAGTTGTAAGGGTTAGATGGTCCATGTAAAACACATAGAACACTCCTTGGCACATAATAAGTGCTCAGTAAATGTTTCGTGGCGTGATAGTAGTAATGTTAGGAGTGAAAGGCAATGCCTAGAAAGATCTGGTGCAATAGGCCCTCATTCTCGGACAGCTATTCTTGCGCTGGCTTTGCCTGCCTTTAGGCCCAAGTCAAAACTGCGTTTGTCCCAGTTCCTGCCCCGGTGCTAACCCTCCACTAATAGGAACTCCCTCCTCTTCGCTGTTGGAAAGTGAATCTCATCACAAATAAACCCTGACCCAGAGAGAGACTCCCAGAAACTCGATGAAGTCAGCCCAGGAGGTTTCTGGAAGCCAGTAATGGCAAATGAATCTCTTAATTACTGGTATTAATCAAATGCCTCTTAAATGTCCTCACTCCGTTGCTTTCCCACGTGACCGCGTCGGCTCAGAGCCAGCTCCTTTGCTTGGCACAGTTCTTGACACCTGCTATTCTTAGAGTCGTCTGATCTGAGACACAACAAGTTACTGGTTCGTTGTACAAGAACCGCAGCACTCAGCTGGTGGAAGGGGAGAGCGGTGGGCAGTGGCGAGCCAGAATGAAATCAGGAAGCCCCGAACTGGACTTGATGCGG